TTTATATATGTGTGTGTGTGTGTGTGTGTGTGTGTGTGTGTGCAGGATTTCCCCTGGAGTGGTCGTCGTCTGGGTCGGTGTGCTGTGGTTGGCAGTGGTGGGATCCTGAAGAACAGCAGCTGTGGATCTGAGATTGACAGCGCAGACTTCGTCATACGGTAAACACATCCCATCATGCCTTGCCTCCCTCAACACATCCGTCTGTAATCATGCGTCCTTCCTGTTAACATGAAGTTTTCTCTCTCTGTTTCAGGTTTAATTTGGCGTCGATTAATGACAGTGATGTTGGGCTGAAGACGGATCTGATAACCATCAACCCCAGTCAGATTCGGTCAGTGTCCATAAACACCAGTTCAGTTAACATTTAAATAAGGATGTTTTAGATTTGGATTTAAAGATTTAGAGTTAAAGATCTCAGTGAGATGGATTCTTGTTTTTAATGAATCTAACTGAAGTTTAGCACATTCATTAGCCATTACTGGCATCCCTACGTACACTCTTCAAAATAAAGGTGCTTTAATGGTTCCATGAAGAACCTTTAACATCCATGAAATTATTCAATTGCACAAAATATTCTTTATTGTGGAAAAAGGTTCTTGAAGATATATGTATAAAAGTGTGTGTGTTCTTCACACTATAACCAGGTTCCGCTCAGACTGCATTGTAAATGTGTTAAAGAAGTATTCTGATTACATATAATTTATGCACTATGGTTATGATTTGGCTCATCTGTCAGGTTGTAAAACAAAAACAGTGCTTTAAATGATATCCTTGGGAAACTGATTTGCTACAATCTTGTATCTTCAAATGTGGTTTATTTTGTTCTACAGTCCTACAAAATGCTTTATTTTCTTTATGCAAATTATAGCTCTCTGATTTACGTTTTTCCGTCTTTTGCTGGACTCGCTCTTCCCACTTTTCCCATCACATATCAGATCAGAAAGGCATTTGCTTTCAATGAAGAAAAGTGGAAACAATGTGCATAACGAGTGGTTAATAATGAGGTATATCGGGGTTAGGGGTAGGTCTAAGGATGAGGGCGTTATTGTCCCAATAAAGGCGGCATCCATGTCATAATTTTAATAAATATAATCATGTACACTCTACGTTACTATTGCATCCTGTTAATGTACAATACTGATGTGCAAACAGTATCTGACACTATTTATGAGTATAAATAGTAAAAAAAACTACACTTATTGCAAAGAAAATACTGCTGCTTTTACAGAGTGTAAATAGAATCTATCACTATTTTAACTTAGTGTAAACAGCATATCGCCAAGAAAATACTTCTGTTGTCACTCAGTGTAAACAGCATCTAAAATATGTTACTTGCGCTTAATGCAAATAGCCACTGCCTCTCTATAAAGGTGTGTGAAACTAACATGCAAGCTTTACACTAGTGGTAATCGGTCTTTGTCAGTCACGTTTGCGTTTATTATGTGTGACGTCACCGAGGCGCCATTTTGAAGGTATCGTTGCATTGAGCAGTGAACTAAAAGTGTACAGAGCCGTGCAGTAAAGACCGATTAAATCGTCATACTGGAGAAACAGATGCAAACCAAGTAGATACGATACCGAGATAATCTCAGCAAATTTTTTTAGGAACCGTAATTTATGTAATTTGTCACTGATGATGATTAA